TTAATGTTATTTCAAATATAACATGTAAATTAATATCTTCAAGCAATATATTTAATGTAATTAAACTTTTTTCTGAAATCATCATCATTTGAAGTGCTCGTTCAATTTGACGGTCTATTTCACAATTTCCTTCACCTATAATTAACCTCTTTTTATTTTTGCCATTTAAAATTTTTGAATTAAATTTTTTGTTCAAATCTTCTATAGATGCATTGATAGCATCTATATTTTCAATAATAACTTCGCAACTAGCGTATTCAGTTGCTTTTTTACAAAAAATGCCATAGTTTATTATTTCTTTTTTCACAATTTCATCTGCTGATTTCCACGTTTCAAGTAACATTTTTTTTAAAAAACTTTATCTTAACTAAAAATATAAAAATAAATATATTAAATTATATCAATCATGAGTCATGATACATAATACAAGTATGATAATATAATATTATAATATATGTTGATAAATATATATATATTTTTTTTAAATATAAATAATATCATTCATCATAAAAATAATTATTCTATACGCACATCACTTTGAAACCATTAACCTTTGAAATATCAATTGTATATATGAAGTTTTAAAATCTAAATGTTATTAAAGCGCAGACGCAACTTTACGTTGGTATTAATTTTGAAAAAAATAGATTAAGAAAATAAAAAAATTTTTGTTAAATACTTAATGATTGAAAGTTAATATTAAATTATTAAAATATTTATGTATGAATAATGATTTGTAATACTTTATAAAATATATTATTTAAAAATATAAAATGTTATCTTTATGTATAAAAAATAAAATTGCAATAAAAAAATAAATGTAATTTTTTAAATATAAAAAAAGTATAAAATATATAAAGATTTAAGATATAAAGATTTAAAAATATACAAATATATATAAATGTGCGTAATTTTCATTAAAAGTTATGGCATAAAATATTGAAATTCAGCTAAAATATATCATTATATAGTAGTAAGTATTTACAAGTATTCAGGTTTAAATGCATAATTATTAATTACTTACTAAATAAAAGTGAAAATTAAACTTTAGTTTTAAGGACATAAAAATAAATTTTTGTATAAATTAATAGAATTTAACAAGTAAATTTTAAAAACCATGATCATAATATTATGAATGTAAAGAATCGAAAGTTATACGTATATAAAAATACTTTATTTTACAGGTTACATTAGCCGCCATATTGATTTCTTTCACTACCTGAGTTTATAGAAACAGTAGATATTAAGTATGATGCTTACATTGCTATCATAATATTGATTATTGTAATTTCAATGTCTTAAAAATTATTTTATAATTTATTTTTGTAGATTCATGGAATGTTCAACTTGCTATGGATAAATACATCTCAAAATATTCGCAAACATTGGTTACCAACATTAGCAATAATATGCATGTGATGTCATTAGAAGAGGAAACAAGATTTTTTTTGTATTAGTAAACGACTAAATAGAATGATAATAAATGATATCACAGAGAATATGACGGTTAATCTGTAAAATAAAATATTTTTTTACACACTTTTGATTTCATATATTCTTAATATTTTTTTTTATAAATTCGATTTTGAAAATAAATGATAAAATGATAATACAATGTCATAGATATTCTGTAAAAAAAAAATATTAAAGATTTTTTACTTGAAAATGAGAGATCTTTTATGCATTTTCGTGTGCTAAATTCAAATTTATTCGTAAAAATTATCGTATTAGATTTAAATAAATAGATTAAAAAAAAAATATTAATTAATTTTTAATATACATTTATAAAAATATTCTAAAGAAAGTAACTTTTTTCAATATTTTAACTATGTTATATAATATTTTTCTCTTATAAAATCATATTTAATTTATTATCATAGATTGATTTTCTTTTGTCAAAATTTTGAATTTATTCAATTTTTAACTCACTGATACCCATCATTCAATTCAGATTCTGAAGAAAAGAATTATGAAAATTCAAATTTATTTTCTTAAAACAGAAACTAATAAAATGAAAATATTTACTTATGCTTTTTTAAATGTACTAAAGCTTTTTTCAAATATAAAAATAAAAATATTAAAATATTTTTACAAATACATAATATTATATTATATTATTTCTTTGATTAATAAGAAATGAACTTATAACATTTCCATATATATATAATGACAAAACAAAAGAATTAAGAGAATACAGTTTTGAACTTACATTGAAATTAGCTACTTTACTTATTCCTACTGCCTTACTAATGATAATGATAAATAAATTCTAGAATTTAATTTGTCTGATAAAATTGATTGAGTTAAATAGTTGATTTTGAATGTTGTTTTTGACTTGAAAATAAGTAATGTTTAAAAATATAATAAAAAATAAAAATTGAGATTAAAAAAAGTGTTGCTTATGTATAAAATTGATAATCCAATATAATTCAATGATTATCAAACAAATATTTAGATATAGAAATTGAAAATTGTGATCTAGAATAAATAAATGCAAATAAAAAAAATTTGCGAAAAGAATGAAGATTATAATATCTAGATGTAAATTGAAATATCGAATATCTTCTATATCATCGAAGAACGTGATATTAATTAGGTATCAAAAAATACATAAGTTTTTAATAATTAATAATAATTATATATTTATTTTAAAAATACACATATTTGACAAATAATAATATTATAAATTTTTATAAAATAATAGCATGTTGAAATTTCATGGCATTTATATAGATTATCTAAAGCACAATAATAAAGTAATGATAATATTTAAAAATTTTAATTTTACAATTATGGCAATTATGAAATATTCTATTGTACGAAATGACTTGTATAAGTAATGAGTATATAAATTCAAAATACATAAAACGTATTTTAAATAAATTTTTTATTAATTTTAATTCATAAAAATTAAATAATTATATTGTTTTTATTCTTAATAATACATATATACATTATTAATATTTAACTTTAGAAAATTATAACAATATCATTATTAATGTATAAATAATACATTATTATGTATAAATACATTAATTATTATGTCAATAACATTATTATTTTGGATACATATTATCGACCAATAGGCCCTTCTAAGTAATTCCGTAAAATACGTTGAAATTCTAATATTTCTTCCTCACTATAATTTTCTTCTTGAGCTGTTCTTGGTTTTGGGTATTGATATTGAGGATTATCAACATATCGTCGATGCCTTACTCTATTAATTGGAAGATTGTTTCGGAAATTTCTACGATAATATGGAACTTCATTATATGCATTTTCCGGATTTTCCCTATTCTGTAATCTCACATCGTTTTCGCAAATGGGAAGCATCACCATTTTTGATGTTTTTATTATAATTTGTTATCTAGAATAAATACAAAACAAAAATAAAAATATTTATAAACTTTAAATATTAATAATACTTAAATAATATTAATAAATAAGAAAATATTTAAATATACATGACTCATTATTATTACTTATGATAAAATAAAATAGAATAAAATAATTTTATT